TCAGGAGGGACCAGTCACTGGAGAAGGATATCATGTTTGGTAAGGTGGAGGGTCAGAGAAAAAGAGGAAGACCCTCAGTGAGATGGATTGGCCAAATGGCATCATTGATGGACTCAAGTATGGCAACAGTAGTGAGGTTGGCCCTGGATCGGGCAGTGTTTCCTTCTGCTGTGCATGAGGTCTCTATGGGTCAGTACTGACTCGGCTCCTAACAACAACAGTGTATTGGTCCAGTGGGTACTATCAAGTCTGCTGGTCCCTGAGCAATGGAGGGCATTCCACATCTCTGTTCTCTTTGTCCAAGAGGCAAACCTTCTTTCCCTGTGTTAAGATGAGGTAGTCATGGTTAACAGAATAGCAGACCCCCAAAAGGTGTTCATACCGTAATTCCCAGACCCTGTGACTAGAGGACCTTATGTGGCCTCGGGGACTTGCAGACGCAGCTCAGTTCCGGGTCTTTAGGTGGTACCTTGGGAGTACCCTGGTGTCTTAGTGTTTCTGCTGCTGCGTCACAACTAAACTCCTCAGTGATGACTAATAAACAGACTCTGTTAGGAGGCTGGAAGTCCAAGCGCGGCCAGATCAGCACTCGACTGCTAACCACAAGATCGGTGGTTCAAACCCATCAGCTGCTCCTCAGAAGCTGTGTACAGGGTTGCTATGAGTCTGAATGGACTCAACGGCACTCAACAACAACAACAGACATCCAAGTTCAGGATGCCGGCTGTAGGGGAGGCTCCCATCGCTGCTGGCTCTAGAGGAAGTTCCTTGTCTCTTTGAGCTTCTGTTTCTGACCACCTACCTGTGACCTGGCCCCTCTGTTGCCCCCTCCCTGCTGTGCTGGCTTCTTTCATCTTGTTTTCATATCTCGAAAGAGATCAGTATACATGCTACACTAATTATGTCTCATTAACGTAACAAAGACAACATATTCCCAAATGGAATTAACCACAGTCATGCTAATTAGGATTTACAATACATAGTTTTGGGGAACAGAATTCAGTTTATGACATTCCATCCTTTGGCTCCCCAAAATCCACTTGTAAAACACACTCATCTCACATCACATCATCGCAAAAATCTTAAATCAACTCCCAGCCCAAAACCTCATCTCCTGAGGCGCATAAATATCAGTGAGACTTTAGACACATTCCATCCTGGGGCAAATTCCTCTCCATCTATAAACCTGTGAAATCTAGAAATCACATGATCTGCTCCCAAAGTACAACGGTGGACCTACCAGGCGTGAAGTAGACACGTCTCCAGTAAACAGGAGACGCTGGAGGGATGAAGGTACAAAGCAAGTCCACAGCCCAGTGGAAGAATTGACATTAGCTATCAAGGTTGAAAGCAGTTCTGGTAGCGTAGTGGTTACGAATCGGGCTGTGAACCGCAAGGTCAGCACTTCAAAACTACCAGCTGTTCCGCAGGAGAAAGATGAGGCTTTCTGCTCCTGTAAAGATTTACAGCCTCGGAAACCCTGTACAGGGTGGCTATGAGTCGGAACCGACTCCACGGCACATAACAACATGACAACTCAAGACTTAAGAATCCTCCTCTCTTCTCTGCCACTGTCTGGGCATTGATCCCACCCTCCAGACTCTAGGTGTCAGCCATGCCCTCTGGGTTCTTGGTGGAGGCCCGTTGGCCCAGGGCATCAGCTCTGTCATCCAGGCCCATTGGGATGACAACTCTGTTTCTTTACCTGTGGACAGCCCCATTTTCCTGGTCTATGGGACTGGCATAGTCCATCCCTTCATCCGTGGCTGGGTCTTCTGTCCCTGGGGCAGGTCTGCTCTGCCCCCTTAGCACCAACCTCATCCCCCCGACACATCCTAACTACAGACAGCACCACACTCTGGAACTGAATTGGGCTGTGGCCCTTTGAGATGCAGGAGACTTTGGCCTCACGCTGTGAAATGAGAAAGCTGTTTTCTGTGTGCCTTCTAACATTTCTGCTGTAGGGATGGTCCTTTTCTTGGAGAACAACAGATGTAAGTCCTTTGGCCTAGTTCCTGCTGTACAATTCCAAGAAGCAGACAGCATTCTTTCCTCTCATTGTTTGCCTCCTTCAGTGTAAGCTGATGGGTTTTCCGCTGTGGTAGATGCTTAGATCCATCAGTCACAGGCTTTATCTTTTTGACAAAAGATTGCATAGTCATGTCCTTGGTGTGAGTTCTAGGACACGTGCTCTTAGTTTGTTCAACAGAATTTTCCAAATCTTTAAGTTTTGTTTTAATTTTTCACAGTTCTTTTTTAAATCCATCTCTTTCTTCTGGCATTTGACTTTAAGGGGGAAGGAGAAACCACATAATCCCTTGAAGATCTTGTTTAGAAATCTCATCAATCAAGTAAGTTCATCACTTACAAGTTCTACCTTCCTCCTAATAGTCGAATAAAATTCTAATTTTCCTTGCCACTGAATAAAAAGTATTATGAGTATCCACTGTCCTCTCACATGTTCATTGTTTTCTTTGAAAATTTCATCAGAAGCACATTTAATGCCCACATTTTGAGCAACATTCTAGCTCTGGGGCCATGTGTGCCGTCTAAGACGTACATCCTCTGGGCCCCTTCACTTTCTCTGAACTGTCACCAGAATTGGTTGACATCCAGTTCTAACAGGCTCCTCCAGGCAGTGGGGGCTCTTACTGTCCGGCACCTTCACACTCTTCCAGCCGCCAGTCATGCCCAGTTCCCAAACTGCTTCCACACTTTACATGTCTGATATAGCAGCTCCCCACTCTTCCAGTACCAAATTCTATTTTAGGTGTCTAGTCCTAGCCCACATGTATTTCCTCACAGGTTAGGAGGCTGGAAGCCCACATTCAGAGCACCAGTTCTAGGGACCAGGTTCTCGCTGGTGGCTCTTCTGAGTTGCGGCTCCTGAATGTCCTCTGTCTGGCTTGGCACCTCTCTTCCCCCATCTCTCCTCTGCTGTATGGCTTCATCTCTTTCTATCCAAAAAGACAGCGAGTGACTCAGTGTATTCTGCACGAATCCTGCCCATTAACATCATGAAGAAAACCCAGTTCCAAATGGAATTATAACCACAGACATAGAAATTTGATTTACAACATATATTTTAGGGATATGTAATTCAGTCCATAACGCTGGGGCCGTCTAAGTGGGCCCTAAGTGCCGTTCGTTCCAATGTTCTTATAAGAGGAAGGCCAAGGGACATTGAGATGGAAGAGAAGGCCATGCAGTAAGGGAGCAGAGACTGGAGGGATGCCTGAAGCTACTGCAAGCTGGAGGGGGGGAGGGACCCAGAAAGACCCTCCCCTGGAGCTTCCAGAAGGGACCAACCTTTGCCAACACCTTGATCTCAGAGCTGGATTTTGGCCTCCTGTTGTTTCAAGCTGCTTGCTCTGTAGGAAATGCATCCAGTGACCAAGCCCCTGAGGCAAGGCCGTAGCTGACAAACAGATTTCAATGCATATCTTGCTGAGCCTGGAGTCCAAGCTCCTCAACACGATTTTATATGTCTTTGGAGACAGATGAAGGCAGGAGGAGACGGAGGGGACTTTGCCCCTAAGATTTTGGCTCCTTTTCTCCAGAAAGCAACCCCTGCATTCCCCTACCTTCCTTTTTTTTTTTTTTTTTAAAGGTATTTTATGTGGTTTGAATGAAAGGCTACAGGGCAGATCATCAGCTTTACATTCAACAAATCATACACCTTGTTTTATTACAATGATTATAATCTCCTCCATGTATGTTCCATCAGTTAACATTATTTCTATCTACTTTAGCTTTTTTTTTTTTTTTTGAGAAAAAAAAACAAAACAAAAAACACACCACTCAGGCATATATAATAAGTTACATATCCAAAAGGCACATTCTGCAAATCTGCCTCCTGGCCACCATCTCTTAGTCCCTCTTTTCCCATGAATCTTGAGTTCTCAGCTGCTCCCCCTCTCCATGCCCCCATCTCTGCCTCCATCTCTGGCATCGCTGCTTCTCTGGTTAAGGTCCTGCATTCTGCTTGTGCTCTTCTCCCTGGCTGGTCTGCCCTAGGGTCCTCTGTTTCTGGACTGGATGATTAGCCACTCCCCTATTTTTGTTACAAAACTTCTACCTTTACAATTGTGACAGTCGCAATTAGTCATGGTAACAATTATTCACTATTGAATCATAGGAATCTTATCCCCATCTCTTTTCACCAGACCCATCTAGACAGGATGAAATCTATTCAGCGGGGACTCTTTCTTTCCCCCCACACTCTTAAACTAAGCTCCCTCTTGAAACCTTGTAAGCCAGTCACTTCTTGACTTTGGTGCCTTTATTGCCCCCTCATTTTAGATAGCCAATGTCTAAGTTGCCCATCCCTATCTACCCTGTGTACAGAGGGGATAGCATTGATACTTGATTTGAAGACTCTTTCCTTCTCTGTTGGTATTTACAGTTACTACCGCTCTGAGTATAGGTCAGGTTCATCAAATTGTAGCAATTTGTCCTTGTTTCCTTTATTTAAAAATTTATTTATTTATTTATTATCTTCCTCTAGTCGACTTCTGATTATCGAGCCATGAGGCTGGGCCAAATGGGAATTATCTGCAAGTTGGGTGCTCTTGTACATCTCCCCTTACTTCATACCAGCTGGATGCTTCACTCTCAGCTCTAACCCTCTGTGGCTACGTCCTTGTCCATGGGCTCAAGTGTCCTCAGGTCTTACCATACTTTGGACCAACCTCTTCTCTCTCTTATTTCCAGGTCAATGGGAGTTAATGGACTGCCCCACCTTTCTTTTTAAATCCCATGTCTGGTGTGTGTTGGCTTGGGGGACCCAGTGCACTCCCTGTCTGCCCCCAGGCCCCAGTGCCCAGTCAGTTGTGGACAGGATGGACTGTCAGCTCAGTGCTTCCCAGGTCTGCCGGTTCCACACCGGCTGGCACACTGGTGTGGGCTCGTTCCCACAGGGTGTGAACTTGCATCATGGCATGTGGGCTCGAACCTGTGATGTGGGCTTGGGTCTTCAGTGTGGCTTTGTACTGTGGGGTATGGGTTTGTATCCACGGTGTGTGCTGTTGACCAGCCCCCCTGCTCCAGTTCAGAGGTAGGCACAGTCCCATCTGAGTCAGGGGCTGTGGTGAGGACCAAGGCGAGGTCTGAGGTGGGCCTGCTTAGAACCTCAGCAGAGCCAGATTAGCATTTGTGAGTAGCTTTGCTAAGTTTTGTTCCCAAGATAGGAAAATAGCAATTCTGTGTCTCTTGATTTGTGGACAGCATGAATGGTACAAGTGAGTTAAACTAGAACCAAATGAATGAGCTCAGGGTGTCTGTGTTCTTGGGGACGGGAGGAAGAAGATATGTAGGAACGCATTTGTTATGACACCTCACAGCCATAAGTGTCCCTGCAAACATGGTTTCTGTCATTGGCTTGAAGCCTTGTTTATTCATGCCATCTTGCCAGGAAAACAGTATCTCCCAATGCTAGGTGCTTGGGATTGTTCTAGAAAGAATGATCACCCTTCCCTGCCAGTCCCTGGCTTCCTGCTCTTTGAGACCCTGGGACCCAGAATGCCTCAATGCTTTCTGGCTTTGATTGACCTGCTGGCCAGTGGGTGGCATTAGGCGGTGGTCCTGGTATCTGTTCCCTGGGACCACTGTAACAAATTACTACAACTGTGTGGCTGAAACGGCAGAAACGTATAGTCTCTGTGTTCTGGAGTCTGGAAGTCCAGAGTCGAGAGGCGGACAGGTCTGTGCTCCCCCCCGCAGGCTTGGGAGAGGCTCCTCCCCTGTCCCTTAGGGCGTGTGGAGGCTCCTCCCCTGTCCCTTAGGGCGTCTGGAAGCTCCTCCCCTGTCCCTTAGGGCGTCTGGAAGCTCCTCCCCTGTCCCTTAGGGTGTCTGGAGGTTCCTCCCCTGTCCCTTAGGGCATCTGGAAGCTCCTCCCCTGTCCCTTAGGGCGGCTGGACGCTGCAGAGGTTCTTTGGCTTACGGCAGCATCGAGCTGTTCTCTGCCTTTGTCGTCACATTTCCGTTTGTATGTGTGTCTCAATCCTCCTGCTCCTGTTTTTGGCCAGGACCCCTAACATTGGATCTGGGGTCTTCCCTAAACCAGGAAAGGGGCTCTGGTAGCTTGTGGTATGCATCGGGCTGCAAACCATAGGGTCTGCTGTTCGAACCCAGCAGATGGGAGAGAGATGGGGCGGTCGGCTTCTGTGAAGATGTGCAGCCTTCGAAGCCCTCCGGGGCGAAGCTCTGCTCTGTCCTGCAGGGGTCACTGTGAGTCAGAATCCATTCTGGGGCTGAGGGTTCAGTTTGATCTAAGCCAGGAGGATCTCCTCCTTCACCAATGACATCTAATTAATTATGTAATTCATTACGTTCTAGCTAGCTGTGGCGCTGTAGGATCAGCACTGGATTGCTCATCACAAAGCTGACAGTTCAAACCCACCAGCCGCTCTCAGAAACCCTATTCAGGGTTGCCGTGAGTCATAGCTGACTTGCCAACACACAACAACAACAATAAGGCCACACTCACAGGTCCCGGGTGGGGTGGGGATATGGACATACCTGTTATTTGAGCCACTGTCTAGCTCACTACACCAAGAGTTCAGAGCCGGAAGCAGAGAGGGGTGCGTCCTCCACAGAACGGAAAGTGTGGAGCATGTTCTGCTGAGAGGCCACCCCCCTCCGAGAATTCCAGTGTGACCATGAAGGTTTTAAAAGTGGGTAAGACTGCAGCTCATACAGATATCAAATGCACATGCCAAAGATCTTAATTAATTCATTTGTTAAGTAGAGACCAGTGAGACGTGGCTGCTGTTTCAAAGGAGAATTTGGAAAACCACATACAGTATTCATAATGGGGATCCCAAACCCAACACAGTCAGCGAGTCGGTTCTGACTCAGAACAGTCCTGGATAGGGTTTCTGAAACTGTACATTTATGGGCGCACACAGCCTCTACTTTCTCCCATGGAGTGGCTGGTGTGTTAGAAACACCAACATTTTGGTCAGCAGCCCAATTCCTAACCCACAGCACCACTGTTGTTGTTGTTAAGTACTGTGGAGTCAGTTCCGACTCATAGCGACCCTTCACAGGGTTTCCGAGGCTGTAAATCTCTACGGGAGCAGAAAGAAGGCCTCATCTTTCTCCTGTGGAGCGGCTGGTAGTTTCAAACTTCTGGAAACCAGAAACACGGAGATGAATTCTCAAGGAGCTGGGAGATAGGCCTGAAAACAGGGACACAGCCCATGGCCTGTCCATGGCCATGATCGCATTATGTTCCACATTCCACATCCCAGAGTGGCTGGCTGACCACAGAAGGTAACGAAGGTGGGCCAGCTGGGCAGTCAGCCATCTCTCTTGCCATTTCACACCATGTCCTTTTCCATCTCTCATGACACCTGGGGGTCAGCCTGCTGTGCTATCTGCTGCGTGATGATGGCGTCTCCCCAGTCCTCGAGGATGTGAGGAAAGGCAGGAGGTGGAGACGTGCTCTAAATCAAGGGTCCTGATGCTGGTCCCTCACGTGGTATTTGTGTAGACCCCACTCAGTGTGGAGCCCAGCCTCTGTCCCCTCTGAGTTTCTCCTGCCCCTTTCCTCTTCTTCCTTGAAGGCCCTGGAGTTAAGAGCAGGGATGGCCTGTGGTCCATCTTGGAGGTCCATACACGCAGTGCATCCTTCTCTGTCCAGCGTGTTCCCCTTTGAGGCCAATTGCTCCACACAACCAAAGAGCAAAGTTTTCAACAGCGAACTCCTTGCTCTGTACTGTGATGAATACCACCTGCTGCTGGGTCAGGGGTCGCAACTTGGATGTGTTTGGAGTCTTGTGTTCTCCACAGATGAGGGAGACATGGAATGAGGAACTGTCCTCCAAGGTGTGGCAGGCCGGGCGCCTGTTTGGACAGATGCCTGCAGCTGCCGGCTCTGGAAGCAAGTGGCCTGTTGTTCCTTGTGGCTGTTCTGCTTCCTGTCCTTGGGAAGTGGGGTCAGGCGGAGGAATGATATAACTGGGAAGATGTCAGCAGGAGTGGTTTGAGGAGATACAGTTCATTATGGTGAAGAGATACCACCAGGGTTTGTTGTGACCATACTGTGAGGGGCCTGGGGCCAAACCAAAGCCTCTGTCGTTGAGTCAGTTCTACGTCATAGTGACCCTGTAGGAATGGCGCTTTCCTGAAGTAGACTGGTGGGTTTGAACCACAGGATGTTTGGTTAGCAGCCAAGTGCTTTAACCACTGTGTCATTGGAGCTCTGCAATGGCCATTCCAACTCACTGCTGATTGTGACTTGTAATTACCCTGGAGACCAGAACAGAACACCCCACAAGGTTTGCCAGGCTAGAACCTTAAAGGAAGCAGGGTGCCCCGTCTTTCTCCTGCGGAGTGGCTGAGCACTTTAGCCACTGTGCCACCAGGGTGCTTTTCAGTCGATTGAGGTTCATGTGTCTGTGTCCAGGAATCTAGTCTCTTGAGGTCTGGAAGAGGTGGGGTGGTGGGCTTGGATTGGGGGACACTCACAGCAGCCAGGGGACTGGAGACCCTGCTGAAACCGGAGTTGAGACGTTGTCAGTACAGGAGGACTCAGGTCCACAGTGTGGGGTACCACCAGTGGTCCCAGAGGGTGATGTGTCCCCCCACAGGCGGGCCGCCTCTGCCCTGATCCATTCTCCAGCTTTCCTGGAACTGTCTCCATCAGGCTCCTTCTCTGGTTTCTGCAGGCGGGCGGCAGGGGACTTCCTCCTACTTTATGTATATCACAGACACAGCAGCTGAGATGTCCACTCAAGCCGCGCTGCCCGGCTTGTCGTCCATGAGTGACGTCATTGCCACTCAGGGAGGCATCAGCCGTGGGGCTGGGAAAGAAAGCCACTTCTCTTCCGGGGAATCTCAGGCCCCTGCAGGAAGTGGCCGGATGTGAGGACCAGCATCTGAAGACTCAGAACAAGCAGTAGGGGGAGAAAACCCCAGCTCAGAGCAAAGGGAGAGAGCTTGCACCTGCCTAGGTACGAGTCACTCTGTTCATGGAGTGCTCTGCTGGACCGGCCCTGAGTGGACTGAGCAACAGAGGATGTGAGTCAGTGTGTACTGGGGTGGATCTCACCCCACAAGGACATATGGTTCTCTGCTGTTCCTTCCAGTAGATGCTGGCGGGGAGGGGCCAGGAATGTGGAGCTCAGGGGACGGACACTGCCCACTGTTTCTAGGATGTTTCTGAGGAGATTGTGCTGAGGACGATGAGAAAACCAGGTGTAAGCTCCAAGTGGGTTTTCACAGGAACCATGTGACCGCCGTCCAGGGCGGAGTCTGGCATGGTCTTTCTCGGACCTCAGGAGTGGGGGTTTGTGTCTGGAGGTTCTGAGAAAGTTCATCCTCAGCTGTGTGAGGTTCTCTCTCCACTTCTTCCGAGTGTTGTTCACTCAGCACGGTTGGCATGTCACACGCAGAGCCTAGTAGGGGCTGTTTTGTATCTCGGCACTACTCCCTGTCATACCCTCAAGGTGTTCTCCAAACCAGGGGGCTTCAGAAAGTTACTGGAACAATTCCAATATCTCGTCATCCCCTTTCCCATACACTTTTGAAACCTCCACCCTGGTGTGGCGTTGTGGGTTAATGTACAGACTGCGAAGTTGGTTTGAACTGCGAGGTTGCCAGTTGAAGCTCACTGGCTGCTCCTCGAAAGCCCTATACAGGGCCACTGTGGATCACAACTGACTTGAAAGCATTTATCACAACAACAACATATTACCAGATTGAAACACAGGGCTCAGAGAATTGAGGAATTTTGTCTAAAGTCAAACAGAAAAGATAAACTAAAACTGCTGGGAAACGCGAGGTCTGTGGACAGTGGCTAGTGGGTGGGCTGGTACAGTTCACCTCCAGGGTGATGTGGTTAGGCTGAGAGATGAAATCGCATTTGACAGGAATTTAACTTTGGCTGCTGACTCTGGTACTCTGGTGATAATAACGCGATTTGGCCCTGGGTCTCCTTGAGAGTTGAGTAGTGAAATTTCATAAATAGTTAAGTGTATCTATATTTTGTTCCAAGGGTCTAAGGGATAATAAATCATTTTGTTGGTTGTTCAGTAGCCTTTGAATCCTGCCTTCCTAATCCCAATTGGCGAAACAGCTCGCTGCAAGACCAGATTGTACTGTTCTGACGTAAGTGTGTAAATATTAACACACGAGATCCCTGGTTCAGTCATGTGGACTCTTCATAGAGTCTGACCTTCTCAGTCCCCTCAGGGCCTTCCCTCCCCTTTCCCAGGCTGTGCACAGACAGAGCAAATAGCACAAAGGAATACTTCACCACTCAGTGCAGCTTCGCCAATATTGGACCCTCCCACCCCCTTCTACTCCTACTGGAGAATTTAAAGCTAATCCCATACATCCAATTACTTTGTCCTCAAATTCTGTATGTATCTAAAACTAATCAGAACTTCAGAAAATAGCACAAAACCACAATCACATTGAAATATCCCAGTTAGTAATGATTCCTTCACGCCTGCTCATCCGGAGTCCACACTCAAGTTCCCTAATTGCTTCAAAAATGACTTCGGTGTTTGGTGATCCTGACCTAAAAAAGGGCTCACATATGGCATTGGGCTGGATAGATGGTAGTTGGCCACGTAGAACTTCCCACCTTCTGCATTTGGCTGTTTGCATCTTCATGGTAGGCTTTGATATGTCCCGCTAGTCCCCAAACTTCCTACCAAATAGGCATTAGAAGTTTGCTTAAATCTCAGTCCCATTTGTTCTTTGT